TCCGATCTCCACCGTTGAATTCAAATGCGATCAATCTAAGCCGTTCGTCGCATCCTCAATCTAGGCCATTGAAATGAAACGTCAGATTTGATCTACGCCCAAGATGTCGCTGTGACTTTCACGCTTACTTGAAACGCGTCACCTCGGTTACAATCAGCCGTCAATAATAATTAGTAGCCGCAGCAGCCTTTTAGGAGAATGGGCATGGCACCCAACTGTCACCTTGAAAACACGCAACAGTTGTCAAATCATTTGACGTTTGAGTCGCCTCGGATTGAGCTTCTCCTCCAACTTTACAAAGCTTGGACGCACCTGACGCGAAGGCCCTATTGGGTCATCGCCTCGGACGCTGCGTTTCCTCCCATGCTTTACAAAGTTTCAGCCATCTCCCAACGTGTCGACCTTTGGGGTCAGCGCACCGGTGGCAGATGAGCTCCTCCTTCAACTTTACAAAGTTTGGACGCACTTGAAGCAAAGGCCCTATTGGGTTATCGCCTCGAATTCTGCGTTTTCTCCCACGCTTTACAAAGTTTCAGTCATCTCCCAACGCGTCGACCTTTTGGGTCAGCGCACCGGTGGCAGATGAGCTCCTCCTTCAACTTTACAAAGCTTGGACGCACCTGACGCGAAGGCCCTTTTGGGTCATCGCCTCGGACGCTGCGTTCCCTCCTATGCTTTACAAAGTTTCAGCCATCTCCCAACACGTCGGTCTGTGGGGTTAGCGCACCATATTCGCGAAGTTTCGATGCACCTTACGCGACGTCCCATGCTTGTTGACCACCTCGTACGCTACGCACAATAACGAAACTTTGGCACATCTGCCTATTATCATAACCTCGATTGCTGCAACAGATCAACCCCCAAAACTCCCATGACTTGCGGTCCGATCAGGAAAGCAAGTCCACGCATGATATAAATATTCATCCCCGGACTTGGGGGACCACTGTTACGCTCCGATTATACACGCCTTGGATATCGAAGTGTCATCTCGCCTCCGAGACCGAGATCAAGTGGACCCCCCGCAGCACCACTTATTCCGACCTGAAAACGACCCTTCCGAAACTTCTCCGAAGTGATATAGCGATTCCTACTACTGATCTGCCGAAGCATCTCACCTCCGAGGTCGAGATCAAGTGGACCCCGGTTAGAAGATCCGCTGCCAATTTGAGATTTGTCCTGCACCTAAGGCTTAAATTGATTTGACGTCTCCATGAGGCTAGTTGATGCGACTTATCAACTTTATGTCAATTCAACTCAGAGGAAACAAACTGTCCGCCTACTCTACAAACGCGGCTGATTGACGCCTATGAGCAGACGGTTCATACCGTCAGATGTATACATGCGCTCCACATCCAACGGTTCATACCACCTATAAATACCCAAGGTTTGGCAAGAGGCAAAGGTAATGAAACTCTTAATACATAGCACTCCATAGCAAGTTTATATATTTTCTCCTCCCCCTTTATTGTTGATTTGCATAGCCCCTGGGTACTGTTCCAATCACCCAAACATGACTTGACTGTCGGAGTGTATACGGCCGCCGCCACCCCCGTTGGTTCTGGCCGTGTGCGCCTGACTATTCGCTGATTGTGCGTAGGGAGGAATACGTAGAGTAGCTTTCAGTTGGCTACGTGAAAGGACCAATTTTCGAGGTCAACAGATTGGCGCCGTCTGTGGGAAGCACTCCCCATTCGAAGTTTTGCGTTTCTCCATCGGAGAAGGTACCGGAAAATCGACGACTAACCCTGAAAAGGAGTGTATATGGAACTGATGACTCCATTTCTAAAATTTTCTTTGGTACTCGGTTTGGTTTGATTTCTTTTTAAAATTGGATCGAACTAGGGCCCTGTTTGAGTCTCATTAATTTGAAAAAATGTATTATGAAATAGTGATTGATGTATAATGTGTGATTAAAAAAGAATGAAATATTTTTGATTTGGGTATAATATTATTTTAATAAAAATGTGTGGTTAAAGATGAGTATTGTAGAAAAAATAATGGGAAATAATCTAAAGTAGAGAATGACAAACGCTTCCACTCCAAATGATTGGTGGACGATAGTACTGAACAACTATGGGCTTGACACGTGGACCAATCTAGTGTACTCCCAGCAGGCTTACAAAACCACCACCACAGGAACTCCAATTCTTGCAGACTGTCCGACGGACTTCTCTGAGCCAAACATCAAACGCCCATATGTCCGTTTCCAGAAGCCAGGCCAGCCATATATTCCAATTCCCATCTCTTCCGTCTATCATAATCCTACGCCCAATATACACTGTCAAATTTGAGAAATTTCTATATTGGTCCCTAAGCTACTTATTAAGTATAAATTTGGCCTTCAAACTTTAGAAATAAGCAAATTAATCGTCAATCTTTCGTTTTAACAACGTGCAAATCACCGATAAGAAATACTATCTAATTTCTTGTTTTTAAGAGACTGCTAGATGTATAACTATAATGAAACCATGTTTATATTCAAATTTGGATTGGTGCTTAAAAGTTTAAAGTGAAAGGTGTTTTTAGGAGGAGTGCGTGATAATTTAACATATATTTCGGATATCCTTTATAATTATAACAAATATTTGAGGATGAACTTACTATTTTTACTGGTGCTATCAAAGTGGAGTTTTAACTATGGCCAATTGAAAACTAGTAAATCACTTTAGAATGGGTTGTCGAATCATCTTCAAAATCGATGGCTTCATGTCAAATCTAATCTTGACCGTCATTTTCACGTGACGTTTTCATTCTAGAAATGACAATAGGTAAAATGTTACTTATTTAAGCAGAGATTTTTTTTCAAGTAGACAATAATAATATTTTACTTATTTATAAACATGTGATTAAAAAGAAGAAAAAATATGGTTAAAAATGATTATGTAAATTTCTATAAAACAACCGTGTATTTACTTTTATTTAAAATAAATATAAAAAGTAAGAGTCGCAATGGAGTTGGGTCCTCACCACCCTGATTTCCACATGAAGGTTGGGCATGGACAAGACATTTTGTCATCATAATGTTGACTAATTTTTAGAATAACATTTTTTTCGTGGATGGACTAAAATCTAAATCAAAATCAACACTTGATTTTAGCCGCACATTATGTCCATGTTTGATTTCCATTACCTGAAAATGAAAATGGAAGAAATGGTATTTTCTAGAAAAATGAGTGGTTAAAAAGAAGGAAAAATTTTCGATTTACGTATAATATTATTTTATGAAAGATTGTGTAGTTGAAAATAGGAGAGAGAAAAATGTAATGTAATGTAATTTAATTTAATGGGGATCAAAAATGGGCTATATGAATTCTACAATTTTTCAATTATACTTTCATCATTTTTTGCTAAAATCTACTAAAAATTAATTTTTATTTATACCAGGGTAAGAGTATCTCCAAAACTCTCTATCTTTAAAGATCATGTTTTATTATTTGAAAAATATCTATAAATTTAAAGAGTTAAAATTTTAAAGTACATCAACGAACTCTTTATATTTAATACTTAATTTTATTACTCTATAAAAATATTTATTATTTTTCCATCATTTATTTTAATTAGTTTTTTTAAAATTATTTTATTAATTTTTTATATTAAAAATTGAAATACTTTAAATATATTTAATTATAAAAAGTGAGTGAAGCCCACTGTCTAAATTAATAGTCTAAATTAAAATATTAATTTAAAGAAATTTTTTTTTTTTAGTATAATATTGATTTTTCAAATAGAAAGTATCTCAGGTCTGATCACCGTTACCAAACCTTCCAATATTGCAACTTTTCTCTTTGCATTTTCAAACGGCAATCATTTCCATTTCCACGTTCCTTCTCCAACACCGCATACACAGTGAGAAAAAGTTAGATCCCATCGCCATCGCAAAACGCGATCAAAAGATGGCGTCTTTAGTACTCACTTCCTCCCTCAACATCCGCTTCCGCCCACTCCCAACTCCCAAACCTCGCTGCCCCACCCCAAAATCCCTCCGTTTGAATTCAAGATCTGTAATAAAATGCAGCGTTAACAATTCTAACAACCCACTTAATCCTCAAAAAAATAAAGATTTCAATCCATTAATTTCCCAAAAATCGACATTCTTAAATCATTCCCCGAAAAGGGACTCAATTATAATCAATTCTGCCTCTACAGCTGCCACGCCAGCTCCTCAGCAGCAGCCATGGCAGGGGGCTGCTATGAGGCCACTTATAGCGTCTATAGCCACAGGAGTTATCCTATGGCTTATTCCGGCGCCAGACGGAGTATCGCGCATTGCGTGGCAGTTGTTGTCTATATTTTTGGCTACCATAGTTGGAATAATAACTCAGCCATTGCCGTTGGGAGCTGTGGCGTTGATGGGTCTTGGCGCGTGTGTTCTGACCAAAACCCTCACTTTTGCTGCTGCCTTTTCAGCTTTTGGCGATCCCATTCCTTGGTTGATTGCTTTGGCCTTCTTTTTTGCACGTGGGTTTATTAAGACAGGTTTAGGAAACAGAATTGCGTATCAATTTGTTTCGTTATTTGGAAGCTCATCTTTAGGATTGGGTTACAGTTTGGTTTTTAGTGAAGCCCTTTTGGCTCCGGCTATTCCATCGGTTTCGGCCAGGGCTGGAGGGATTTTTTTGCCATTAGTGAAGTCACTGTGTGTGGCTTGTGGTAGTAATGCTGGTGATGGGACTGAACATAAATTGGGGTCATGGCTAATGCTGACATGCTTCCAAACGTCCGTGATTTCGTCGTCCATGTTTTTGACTGCCATGGCTGCGAATCCATTAGCCGCCAACTTGACTTCCAGCACAATAAATCAGACCCTCGGGTGGATGGATTGGGCAAAGGGTGCAATTGTGCCTGGATTGGTGTCGTTGATTGTGGTCCCATTGCTTTTGTATGTGATCTATCCACCTACTGTGAAGAGTAGCCCTGATGCGCCTAAGCTTGCCAGGCAGAAATTGGAAAAGATGGGGCCCATGTCAAAGAATGAGCTTATCATGGCTGGAACTCTACTTCTCACGGTATAATTATTGAAAACTTTTGCCTAATCCTTGTTATAATTTTTACTCTAAATGTGTGCCTGATAGAAATAAATTTGTATGGTTAGTAGTGTGCCATTTTACTTGGCTAATGATCTTTTATGTGTTCTCTTTTTTATCGTGGGATTTGGCAATTCTTTTTATTGGTTGAACTGAAATATGATAACTCATATTAGGAGTTTTATTCTATTTTATGTTGGAGAGAAACGTGGGTCGAGTTTGAGTGACAAATAATGGAATTGAGAAAACACAGTTAAAAATGAACACAAGTATCTACGTGGTTCACCCAATTTAGGTTACATCCATGGGCAAATATAGGAGGATTTCACTATAGTAGGAGAATTACAATACACTATCTAAATATAAGTAGATAACAACAATTAATCTCTCTTGTAATTAGTAGAAACACGTGTAGGAAATAACTTGAGAAAACAATAATTTTTTTCTCTCTATTTTTTTCTCTACTAAAAGAATATTTTCTCTCAATTTTCCCTTTCCATACACTGCTATCTTCTCTTCAAATATTGTCTCCTATTTATAGAGAATTTCCACCTCCTTAGTTGCTTGGAAAATTCAAGATAAAAGGTTGTAATTTGGCTGGTCATTAGCTGGACATTCCACCGCCTTCATGTGAAAGAAAATGGCTGGAGATTTCTACAAAAATCTTGGCTATCAAGTGGTTGTAAGTTGGCAGAAGCAGAGAAGTCAAAATTGGCAACCTTTCTTGCATGCATGGAATTCTCTACACATTTAGTTGTCATTTTGCTGGAGAAGGAGAAAACCAATTTTGCTAACACCTTTGCATGCATGCATGCATGCATCTTGCTTGACAATTAAAAAATTGTCTTAAAATCGCCTGTTATGTAATCAATTGATCGCCATCAACCGTAATTGATCTAAAGATGCCTATGGAAATGTGGACTGCTAAATCAGCTGATTATTTCTTGCTTACATGTGTTTGGAAGTCCTGTGTACATTATGTACAATACCCAAGAAACATCAAAGTTGGATCCAAAATCCAGAAAAATATATGTTCTTAGGGTATGTTGATGGAATGAAGGGGTACCGCCTATGGGATCCCACTGCCCACAAGGTGATAATCAGCAGAGATGCCATATTTGCAGAAGGCAAAATACAGGAAAAAGTAAATGATAGCACTTTAAAAGAAAAACCAGAAACTACTACAGTTGAAGTTGGAGGCGAAAGAGAAGTTATAGATTCTTCTGAAGTAACACTAGAGCACGAAGAACAAGCAGAGTCTGGTGCTCCAGATGTTCGACGATCAACAAAGATGGAGAGCCATCAACTTTTGATGAGGCTATAAATTGCCAAAAAGTTTCTCTGTGAATGGCAGCAATGCAAGAAGAAATTGAAGCTCTTTATAAGAACAAGACATGGGATCTTGTTCCACTACCACATGAAAGGAAGGCCATTGGGAATAGGATCTAAAATTAAACGAGATGGCAATGACAAAGTGGAGCGATATCGTGCGAGACTGGTGGTGAAGGGATATGCTTAGAAAGAAGGCAATGACTTCAACAAAATATTTCCTCCTGTGGTTCGGCTCACAATAGTTTGAGTAGTTTTGGCGATGTGTGCTACATTTGACTTACACTGGAGCAGTTAGATGTAAAAACTGCATTTCTTCATGGAGAACTTGCAAAAGAGATTTATATGCTCAAACCAGAAGGTTTTGAAGAAAAAGGAAAAGAAAACTGGGTTTGCAAGTTGAACAAATCTTTCTACGGTCTCAAACAGGCGTCGAGATATTGGTATAAGAGATTTGATTCCTTTATCAAGAGCCTTGGATACAAAAGACTCAGTTCAAATCCGTGTGCATACTACATGAGATTTGGTGATAATAATTTCATTATTCTGCTGTTGTATGTTGACGACATGTTGGTAGCAGGCCCCAACAAAAATTTTATTGAAAATTTAAAGGCACAGTTGGCTAGAGAGTTTGATATGAAAGACTTGAGATCGGCAAACAAGATTCTAGGGATGCAAATTTACCGAGACAGAAATAGTAGGAAGATTTGGCTTAGTCACAAGAATTACGCGAAGAGAATCTTGCGTCGCTTCAATACGTAAGATTGTAAGCCAATTTCTACCCCTCTTTCTACTAATTTCAAGTTATCCTCAAGTATTAGCCCTAGCAGTGAAGCAGATAGGATGGAAATGTCTTGAATACCGTATGCATCAGCAGTGGGTAGCATGATGTTTGCTATGATCTGTACAAGACTAGACATTGCACAAGCAGTGGGAACGGTTATTCGATATATGGCAAATCCTGGTAAAGAGCATTGGAGTACTGTGAAGAGGATCCTGAGATATGTTAAGGGTACCTCAAACGCTACATTATGTAATGGAGGATCAGATTTTATTGTCAGAGACTATGTTGATTCAGATTATGCAGGTGATCTTGATAAAAGCAAGTCTACCACAGGATATGTGTTTACTCTTGTTGGAGCAGCTGTAAGCTGGGTTTCGAAATTGCAGTTTATCGTGGGTACTTCTACGACGGAGGCAAAATACGTGGCAGCCTATGATGCACCGACACGGACACGTGTTTCCGACACGATACGTGTCGGATACGTTGACTCGTGATTTTTTAAAAAAGTACCGACACGACACGTCGTCGACACGTTCGATAAATTCTTTAAAATTCTTCATTTATATAGTTTAAATTTAGTTTTATACTTAATATTGATTCTTTTTTGTTGAAATTTTTTAAATATGAGTACTTATTTGTTATTTACTAAAAATTTTGAACTAGAAACATATAATAACTATAGTAAGAAAGGAAAATGATTATTGCAGAGTGTCCAAAGAGTATCGGTATCGACACGTATCCGACACGGACACGCTACTCTAGTTAGAGTGTCCGTGCTACATAGGTGGCAGCTACACAAGCTAGCAAAGAGGCTATTTGGTTGCAAATGTTAATGGACGAGCTCGGACACAAATTAGAGAAGATTGCTCTATTTTGTGATAGTCAAAGCACTTTGCACTTAGCAAAGAATCCAGTATTTTATCAGAGGACAAAGCATATTCGAGTCCAATATCACTTTGTTCGAGAAAAGGTGGAGGAAGGAAGTGTGGATATACAGAAAATCCATACAGTAGACAACCTAGCTAATATGTTGACAAAGCTAATCAGAACTGATAAGTTTATATGGTGTCGATCCTCCATTGGCCTAGCAGAAACGTAAGTAGCATGAAAATTGCAAGTATGGGAAGGATTGAAATGGTCAACAAAAGTGACTTTAAGTGGGAGGAATGTTGATAAATAAAGCCACTTTCTTTGACCACAAATGGATAAGTCCACATTTCCATGGGCATCTTCAGATCAATTACGGTTGATGGCGATCAATTGGTCACATAACAGGCGGTTCTGAGGCAATTTCTTAATTGTCAAGCAAGATGCATGCATGCATGCAAAGGTGGTAGCAAAATTGGTTTCCCCCTTCTCCGGCAAAATGACAACTAAATGTGTAGACAATTTCATGCATGCAAGAAAGGTTATCAATTTTGACTTCTCTTTTCCTGCCAACTTACAACCACTAGATAGCTAAGATTTTTGTAGAAATCTTCAGCCATTTTCTTTGACATGAAGGCGGTGGAATGTCTAGCTAAGGACCAGCCAAATTACAACCTTTTATCTTGAATTTTCCAAGCAACTAAGGAGGTGAAAATTCTCTATAAATAGGGGACAATAGTTGAAGAGAAGATAGCAGTGTATGGAGAGGAAAAATTGAGAGAAAAAAATTATTGTTTTCTCCTAGGTATTTCCTACTTGTGTTTCTCCTAATTATAAAAGAGATTAATTGTTGTTATCTCCTTTTATTTAGAGAGTGTGTTGTAATTCTCTTACTTTAGTGAAATTCTCCTATACTTGCCTGTGGACGTAGCCTAAATTGGGTGAATCACGTAAATACTTGTGTCCATTTTTAGTTGTGTTTTTTCAATTCCATTATTTGTCAGCCAAACTCGACCCATGTTTCTCCCCCTACATTTTAGAATTAGACAACTCATATTAAAATATGAATCTAGGAAAATGCTAAATTATTTTATCAAAGATGGTTTAATTGAAATTCATTTGTTGGTGATTATAAATTGGACAGTGTAACACTAAGCTCGATGGACAGTTTCTTTACCAGATGCAAAATGTGATGATGCTTAAAATTCACCTTAATGTCAGAGAATGAATTTATGCAACTAAGCTTTCTTTTTAGATGTTTGTATAAATGTGTAGGAATGTCAAGGCATGTAATTGCCCATTATCTGGATGACTTTTAATATGGATGTGCATAAACATATGCTGATGTTCAAATTTATGAGAAAAAATGTAAATTGTCCATGAACGTGTGCTCGCACATGCATACACATTTTGATTTTGCTCGAGCTTACATTTCGCATAAACATGTCCACTTTCTAGACTCCAAGGATGTAATCTGCTTCAGAATACCAATATCGGATAATTTTTATGCGACTTTTGAGTCCTAAATGCCAAACTTTGATTTTTGTGCGCAATCCACATTTGTGGTGTAGATCTAATTTCTTGGATAAATCATGTGATTTCTTTTCTGCAGCATGAGAGGCATGGTTAATTTCTTATGCAACACGTTGATGAATTATTCTGCTTGTTTGGCTTGATCACCTGTGAAAACATATTTTTTGATATTTCTCTTTTTGTGCATACCAGGTGGGGCTCTGGATTTTTGGAGGTACACTAAACATCGATGCTGTTACTGCAGCAATTCTTGGATTATCTGTTCTCCTTGTGACTGGTGTTGTCACGTGGAAGGAATGCCTAGCTGAATCTGTCGCTTGGGACACTCTTACCTGGTTTGCTGCACTTATTGCTATGGCTGGGTATCTAAACAAATATGGTCTCATCTCCTGGTTTAGCCAAACTGTTGTGAAGGTTGGTTTAATCATATTTCTCTAGCACGTTTGGGAAGTATTTATAAACTGTTTAAACTATAAATAAATAGAAATTGGTGGTGGATAACTGGTTAGTACTTGTGGGCCTTTCAAAATATATGGATAAAAATTGGTTTGAGTGTTTATAAACAGTTTATATACATGAAGCAAACATAGTTGAGTGCTGGTGCTTTTTTAATTTAAACTAGTAAAGAACTTCTTATGATATAACAAATTTTATTCTTTTTCCCCTACAACGTGCGATAGTTATTACAATGTTTATTTTGGTAGGGATAAAACATGAAATCTCAAAATCCATTGACAATCGAGTGCTTTAATATTCTCCCATGACTGGACATTGTCTCCATGAAACATGTAGAAATATATCTCCTATTCTGTTAGTGGATACACGTACAAATATTTAAGCATAAAATGCAGGTACACTTTGTAGTAATTTTTGCCACTCCCTTCCTCACTCGTTAGTTCCTCATCTGCTACTTTGTGAAAAGCTTGATTTGTTATTATCGTAGATCTATGTAATTTGGTGTTGTTTCTTTGTCATTTCCTGTTTCCATTTTCAACCCGTGGAAAAGACCGGCATGGCAGAGTTTTATTTTTAGTATCTCCATTTTGGAGGTCTTTTTAATGCCCATCTGTCCTTTAAAAGTAAATTGAAATTCTTAACATAGCTTCATCTTTCTCATTGAGAGTCGTTCCGTCCATTCTTGTTAGTTGACTTATTTGCCTTATTTGCAGTTTGTTGGCGGACTGGGACTTCCATGGCAATCATCTTTTGGCATTCTGATTCTTCTTTACTTCTATTCCCACTATTTCTTTGCAAGTGGGGCTGCTCACATTGGTGCCATGTTCACGGCATTCTTATCTGTAGCTAGTGCTTTGAGTACACCACCATACCTTGCAGCCATGGTCCTCTCATTTCTATCAAATCTTATGGGTGGTATTACCCATTACGGGATTGGATCAGCACCTGTGTTTTATGGTGCTGGCTATGTGCCGCTTACCAAATGGTGGGGCTACGGATTCTTGATCTCAGTAGTCAATCTAATTGTCTGGCTTGGAGTAGGTGGGGTGTGGTGGAAGGCCATCGGTTTGTGGTAGACCTGCGGATTAGCTCAATTGCGAATCCAATGGTGCTGGCTATGTGCCGCTTGCCAAATGGTGGGGCTACGGATTCTTGATCTCAGTAGTCAATCTTATTGTCTGGCTTGGAGTAGGTGGGGTGTGGTGGAAGGCCATCGGTTTGTGGTAGACCTGCGGATTAGCTCAATTGCGAATCCAATTTTCAGTCGTCATTTTTTATCACTATCGTAGCGCGATTTTGGTTTAGTTTTCTAATCTTTTTACGATCAAATTGAGGTAGGCTTTGGTGGCTTCGAAGGTACTGGTGGTGAGAGATATGGTATACGCATGGCTATTTAATAATTATAGCTCAAATTAGGGTTGTGTTTAAAATTTTGACGTTGAAATTGCAAATTCAATTATTTTTATTGAATGCCACCTCCTTCATTTTTTCTCGGTTCCTCCTTACTGTGTTTCTGATTGCTAATTGTGTACTATCACTCTGTCAGTGTAAAGTTATCTTGCTTGGTACCTCATTTATCATTTGGTAGTTAAAAAGCATCGAAATGATCCTTATGGCCGGAATCTACACACTGAATTTGTCAGGAGAGATTCGATTAAAAGTGTGTTTGTCTATATTATTTTTTCTACAGTATTCAATTTCAATCATAGATTATTCATTAAAATAAAATTACACGTAAATAAAAAAAAATTCCTTTTTTTTTAAGAATTTTTTATTAAACTTGGCAGTGGGAAAATGTCATTTTTGTTTTATAGGTTTGAGGATTTACACATTCTTGATTATTTATTGAGATTATTTATTTTCAATTCTTTAGACTGAGAATTTGACTTGAGCGCAAGTATGGAATTCAGGAAGAATAACATTATTGTTACCAAATATGTTAGGAATAAATTTGACTTGATAGAAGTAGAATACATGCACATTCCCACCAACCATATCAAAGTTTGCCTTTTATTTTATCGAAGAGTAAAAGAAAGAATTATGCCAAATGCCCTTCCAAGTTGCAGTAATGCTTTTACTTTGTTTATCACAAGATTATAAAAATGAGATTACTAACTGATGGAGACTGTTGAAAGAAAAGTAATCCACTGCTAATGGTGGATTGGTCCACTTTACAGCTCAATAGACTTGATTTCTATTGGTGATTTGTGGAAATCGACTCACACGAACCTACTTGTTCTAGAAAAATCTTATGCAAACTAAAAAGGAAATCGTGCTTAGCCTTGCTCGACGGCCGTGTAAGTGATCGACTCAAATAAATTTAATCCTGTGCTCTTAGTCACCTCAAAATCAGACCATCTCACTTTACACCCCCTCGTAAAACTTCATGCATGGCTGCTTTATTTTACAAAAAATGAAAAAGAAAAAGAAAAAGAAAATCAAGTAAGCCAGAAGTCTAGTCCTTGGCTTGGCTCAGAGGCGGTGCTAAGTTTGGGGGTGTTTGAGAGCCATTTTTAAATAAATATGTATTTTAGAATAGTAACTTGATGAGAAGTGTGTGGTTGAAAAATAAAAAAAAAAAGTTTTCAATTGATATATAATATTATTTTAATAAAAAATGTGTAATTAAAAAGAAGAGGGAGAAAAATACGTTTTGAAAAAATAGATACCAAACGGCGATTCTATCTGACGCAGATGACACATGAGACTGCTTTGATGATATTTGCATGCTTTTGTGTAGTCTGCTAAAAAACAGTGGAAACATGCTAACCACAAATTCAGAATTAGTTTCAGTGCACGTGGCTTACTTCTTCACTTCAATAGGGACACACGTCAAATTTATATTGGGAATTTGGCAAAACTTTTCTTACAAAATGTGGGCCAACTTTTTACTCCCCACCCACCAAATATTAACGCCAAAGATGGGTTTGCAGAACCTTGCAAGTCTTCTTGCCTTGAATTTGACTGTACAAAACTTTTCAAGGTGAATTTTTTCTGGGCTTTGTGTCAAATAAGTGATATTTCCGTGCTTTGGTGGGTTCTTACTTTTCATCAGGAAACTTTGAACAATTGGCTTTTACTTTTCTCGAGATAGTTTTTTATAGCTTATTTGGATTTTTTTTATTATTATTTTTTAATTTCTCAAGAGCATGTTTGTTATATTAATATTATATTTGATTGCTGTTTTCATCATAAAATTTAAGCAATCTGTCTTTTGATATTTGATTTTAGTTTTCTATGCATGGAGACTACTTTCTGAAAACTTCCCAATATCAGCACAGGGAATTCGGGATTTAACTATGGCCAAGGAAGACATTTCTTTCCATGGGTGCAGGGAAACCCCCGTCTTCATATTCTTCAAGGATGCAAGGTATTGAAAGTAATTTCATAGTTTTTTTTTCTGTTAAAGTAAAAACTACTCAGAAGAAAAGTGATTGTGAAAATTATGTTCGCCAAAATATGTATCTTAAACTTACTTTTAAGCTCACGCCTAACTTTTACTTTTTGTGTTGTTTGTGGGGAGGGGCAGGGATGGGGGATACTGATAGGAAGAGAAATCATGTTCTGATTTAAGTTCTAATCCTAGGGTCCGTGAGATGTAATAAACAGAATAATATAAAAAAACCCGCAGAGCAAAAATATATTTAAAGACTTAGTAGTTTACCCTCAATATGAAAGCTGCATCACTTTTCTATGCATGTCGATCTGGGATTATCATACTAAATTTACTTCACTTCAGATTTTGGAAAATATTAGATAATTTCAAAATATATTTGTGTTAATCAAGGTTTAAGTATGAAATGAGCATAAGGGGTAATATCTTGCTTCAAGTGATTCTCAGTTTTATCAACCGATTTTTAAGCTTGTCTAGACACATAGTGCTAACTATTTCTGTTTTCTAATTGCTGGAGTAGATCAATTTTCAAAATGGACGAACTTGGTTTAGAGATAATGAGGATTGCTCTCCCTGCTGCTCTGGCTTTGACAGCTGATCCTATTGCATCTCTGGTTGATACAGCATTCATCGGCCAAATAGGTATGATATTGCATTTATTTGTTGAAATAGGCATCAACTTCACCCTTCTGTATCCTTTATCTTGTTCCCAAACATAGCATCTTAGTTTTCCTATTGTCTGAGAAAAATATCTTTTATGTTATTCACAATTCTTTGGGATTACATGATTGTAAGTTTGTCTGGTTGTGCAAGGTTTAATCAAAAAGTTCTCCATTCCTTAAACTGCTTCTACTCGATCCTTTTCTCTGTAAGTCTTTTACTTTCTGTTACCTGTGACTTTGAAGACAATCCCAGATAGAATGATAATTGTCTTCTGCTTAATGCGTTTGACATGAATCCCACACTGCGTAGTGTAAACTTTGAGGTTTTCAGAGTTTTGGGCTTGAGGACTTTTTACTCATTTGCGTTCTATCCTTTAGGTTATTAGTGGAAGTCTTGTCTCTGCCTGTGGACATAAGCAAAGTGCTTAACTGCGAATATCTTTCTGCACTTTGGCATTTTTTTTTTCTCTCTCTCAATCTTGTTGCCTTGTTTACAACGGTAGTGTATAGCCTAATTTTTTATTTTTCTAATCTTCTCTTTTTTAAGAACTTAAGAAAAGTTGAGAACTTGAGGACAAAGTCTGTGTCTTGCGTTATACGTAATAACATTGGACAAATCTCAAGAAAGCCGGTGGTTAGACAAAATGCTAGACGCTGATATTTTTTGTGCAATAAATCCTCTTCTTGTATTAGTGTTATTGCCTCTTAAAAGTAATCCTAAGTTTTTCGATAAATGTTTTCATGTTCAGGTCCTGTTGAACTTGCTGCTGTTGGAGTTTCTATTGCCTTATTCAATCAAGTATCAAGAATTGCTATATTCCCCCTTGTCAGTATCACTACTTCTTTTGTTGCTGAGGAAGATACAATCACAAAAGTGATTCCAGAGTCGGAAGATTGTGAAAGCTTGGAGAATGAATTGTCGTTAGACAATGAAAATAAGATGTTGATACCAGAGAACGGTATTCTAAACTCCAACCAGTTTGACCAGATTCTCATTTTCTAGTGTGATTGTTATGTCAATGTAACTTCATTTTCTCTAACTTTATTTTTGTCTAATTATGCATCAGATTCTGACAAGACTCCATCCAAGTCAGAGTTACTTGCCAACAGTTTTGAGGTAGCTAATATTAAGCATGAAAAGAGGCACATTCCATCGGCATCTTCAGCATTAATTATTGGTGGCATCCTTGGTATCATCCAAGCTGCATTCTTGATTTCTGCTGCAAAGCCTTTATTAAACTTCATGGGAGTCAAATCTGTAAGTCGGACTGTTTTCTTGATTTCTGTCGTTTGAGGGTTTTATGATTTGTGTTTGCTTATTAATATTATAGGTTTAGGGATTAGAATTTAATCCGTAGCAATATATTTTCCTGTAACACTTTATTGTATGCGATGCATCGCATCCTGCTGTGTAGGACTCGCCAATGCTATTCCCTGCACAAGAGTACCTGACACTAAGATCACTTGGCGCTCCAGCTGTTCTTCTATCGCTGGCTATGCAAGGAGTGTTTCGTGGATTTAAAGATACAAAAACTCCATTGTATGCAACAGGTAAGTGATTACAAAACGAGATCCATAATCTCTCTACAGAACTAATAACATTGATATCCTTCAACTATTTCTGACCGAGCTTTTGTGCTGTGTCCAATCCAGTGGCAGGAGATCTAACAAACATAATTTTGGACCCCATATTTATGTTCGTTTTTCATTTGGGGGTCAGAGGTGCAGCCATTGCACATGTTCTGTCTCAGTAAGTTGTTCCCAAATGACTATTATACACCTTTGAGTACATATATAACCTTTATTCCCAAATAACTATTTCACAGTGACCCACATTATGCTTCTGTTACATTTGAACTTTGCACTCTAATGAATTTTAAGGAAACTCACACATGTTTTTACACTTAAACTGTTATTACAGGTACCTAATTTCACTAATACTATTTTGGAGGTTAGCAGAACAAGTAGCTCTTTTACCTCCTAGTCCCAAATATCTGCAATTTGGTCGGTTTCTTAAAAACGGTGGGTAGTTTTTCCCTTGTTTACACATGCTTTCTAGTGAGATAAATGTTATAGCAACGTGTTCTAGGTTCCATTGAAGTTCTAGATTGATCATTAGCCAGCTGTCCACCAAATGAATTTCGTTTTTCCAATTTTTTTCTTGAAATTTCAGTTTACCCTTTTCCCTTAATACCATATAATTTTCTTATTTTATAAACCCATATAGTTTATTTAACTTTCATCGCTTTTGCCAATTTAGGTTTTTTGTTACTGATGAGGGTCATAGCTGTGACTTTCTGTGTAACCCTTGCTGCATCAATGGCGGCGCGGAGGGGTCCAACACAAATGGCTGCATTTCAGGTCTGCTTGCAGGTTTGGCTTGCTACATCTCTTCTGGCCGATGGCTTGGCTGTCGCTGGGCAGGTAATAAATCATTCCGTGCAACTTCTATGCCAAAACCCACGAGAAATGCAGCCTACGGCTCGATCAGCAGTCGAGGGATAAGTGTGTGAAATGATGACGTTCCATACGGTCCAACAACATTTAGATGACTTTACAAACGTGGATTGTATTTCCATTTTTCGTTATGTCAATTTTTTGTGTTCTGCTTAGACCTGATTTCTTTATGCTAGGACTTGGCAAATCTGTATATCACTGTAAAAACAATTTTTTTTTTCCTTTTTTAAGAAAAATAATTCTCTCTGAATTCTTTCAGGCAATTCTTGCCAGTGCATTTGCAAAAAAGGACTACAATGGGGCAGTTGCCACTGCATCACGAGTGCTACAGGTACTTTACGCACCCCAGTATCATTTTCAGTGACATGTTGCGCTTAACTGAAACCATTTCTGAATATTAAGATACCTTAATTTTTTTTAAAAGTAAGTAGGCACTTCTTTTCAAAGTAACACTTACATTAATCTCAAAATAGTCAATTCTCTCTCATATTTAGCTTTGTCAAACACTGCAGTTGGGGGTGGTTCTAGGATTGGTTCTAGCTCTTATCCTCGGAATTGGATTACATGTTGGAGCAAGATTATTTACCAAAGATATTGACGTCCTCCACCTTATTGGAGTTGGAATCCCGGTACTCTGCCCTGACAACTCGAACTCACCATTAGAAATCCATTTAACTGTTTCCAAAAAAAGAAGATAAAATGTGAACTAACTGATTCTTGTGATATCAGTTTGTTGCAGCAACTCAGCCCATAAATGCCCTTGCCTTTGTTTTTGATGGCGTCAACTTTGGAGCATCTGACTTTGCATATTCAGCCTACTCAATGGTATGTCTCCATTTCTCATCCATAGCATGTACAACATTCATTACAATGTGTAATTTTGTACTGATTATTTCCGAATCCCTCACCACTCAAATGAAGGCCTTTCTTGTGAGTTTATAAGCACATTGGACGGCCTTAAAATTGACAATTATCCTCCAAGTGCTTTAACAGTTTTATCAGAGAATTAACTTGGCTCGCACTTTCAGGTTACTGTGGCTATATTCAGCATTCTTTTTCTGTTCATTCTTTCATCCAGTAATGGATATATTGGAATCTGGATTGCACTAACGCTCTATATGAGTATGAGAGCATTTGCTGGTTTTTGGAGGTACGTCCTGAACCACAAAATATCAAATAACATCTCCTTTGGCCGAGCTTAAAAGCCACTAAATAGCCGTTTTTCGACTACACATCTCTAAAAAAGGGCTTTTAAGTTCGACCAAACATGCTCTGAATCCTATTTTCTTATCCAAGTAGCCTGAGGGTTTCCATAATCTAAACCACTCAAATTCCTTTCTGTAATAATTACAGGATAGGGACTGGATCGGGGCCTTGGAACTTTCTTAGGACCTGATTGCAATTGTTTATAGTTTCAAGAAAAGTTTTATAAGTTCTCTTGTACTGAATTCTCTTGCTAAATATATAATGTATAGAATAATTGTAATGTCATTGAAGTTGGAAACTATCTTATTAATAAAGAAAAGCTTCTCTTGATGCCCTTTTTTTGGTTTTTGGTAAGGGATGATTGGAATTGTACTTAAAAAGAAATTTGCAGTAGCGGTCTCTCAACTTTTCTCAAATTGTTGATTAACCTTTTGTTGCTTTTAGGTCTCCCAAATCTTCAGTTTTGATCTTAGTTAATCCTTGCTAGACGGAAATTATCAATTTTTCAGTTAACCGTGGCAAAATAACTTAATTGGATGTTATTTAAATCAAGTCAAATCATTTTCCACATATAATAATGAGAAAAAGTAAATGAAGAGCTGGCCTTTGGGTCTTTTCCTCCCTCTTTTAGCTAGCGCATTTCATTAGAAGAAACACTTCTTTTGTAGCAGCTAGGCAAGAAGTAAAAAGAAAAAAGATATCAACATTTATATTTCTCGTGTGAATGGAATTGCATGACAAAATTTTAAAAACTGAACATTTACACAGTTCCTCAACCTAGGATCGAGTTGATTTCTATAGTCGAACAACTTATTCTTAGTCTACGAAGTGTCGTTCTCTTGCGGCTGTACAACAACTACAAACCTGTTCTTAATATGTCTCGGATGTTGTGCTTTTTAATATTTTCAAGCTTTTTAGGGCGGTTAACAATTGCTCCTGCTACTTTGTTTTTCCGTGAGGAGAATAAGGTGGCCTATGAGTTGGTCTTTTACCCTCGTGTGCATAATGGTTCTTACGTATTATGTCACGCTTTATTGCTCTTGCTACGTTGGAGGATGGTTGTGTACTTGTTATTAATAAAAAAGGTACTAAGCCCAAGTTGATATTTTGAAAAGTTGTGAAAAAAAAGACTTTTTTTTCGTAGTTAAAAAGTAAAATATAATTATGAGTAAATGTGAAAAATGACATTTTTTTTTAAAGAATGTGTATCTAACCTTTAATAAAAAGGGGGAAGGAGGGTCTACTATTCATGCAATAGTAAATGAATCTAATTTTACCATGTATGATGTCATTTTTTATTTTTCATTTTATTTATGTCAAACAAATGTTCTTCCACATATCATCTCATTAACATTAAAAAAATAATTATGTCAAACAAATGTTCTTCCACACATTATGCCACTAGCATTAAAAATAATAATAATAATTTTAGTAAATATAAATTGTCATGAAACATCATGCCACTAGCATTAAAATAATAATAATAATAATAATTTTAGTAAATATAAATTGCCATGAGAAAAAAAAAACTCTTCACACATGAGTTTTAAAAAAAATAAAAATAAACTCTCCGCACAGTGCGGAGAGATGACAAACCATGTACGAAGTAAAAAATGAAGGAAAAAATCCCCGCATAATGCGGAGAGATGGCAAACCATGTGCGGAGAGTTGGCAAACTCTCCGTACAGTGCAAAGTAAAAAAAAAAATTTCGCGCAGTGCAGAGAGATGACATTTTGTACGGACACTATCCTTACAAAGTGCGGAGTAAAAAAAAAATAAAAAAAAACTTCGCACAGTGCGGAGAGTTGGTAAACTCTTCGTACAGTGTGAAGTTAAAAAAAAAACTCTTCGCATGGTGACTGTCACATACGTTGCACAAATTTTGCATTTATCGTATTTTTATTAGTGTATGAATTTTAATTTTTTGAAAAGTTTTTAAAGCAATATCTAGAAATATTTCCATGATATAATAAAATAACTGCAAATTATTTTTACAATTGCATAATAGTATTGTGTCATCTAAAATAATATACTCGTATATTTCATACTTGATTAAGAAATATACGAGATTATACAAATCATTTTGCTTGTATTATTTGATAGTGTTGATATGATTAAGTTGAATGTGAAGATTATATTTCTAAATTTTGTGTAATTCAGTATTAGAAAATTGAAGATTGAGCACCATATTCAAATGTATTTATATTTTGTGCTTCATATATATTTAATATTTATTTTATGCTTATGTTGAAAAAATAAAAATCTGAATTTTTTTTTTAAATTCGGTTTGGTAAGTGAATCTACGGTATTCTGCATTCTCTGTATTTGTAAGTGCAAAAATCGGTATAAAAAAATACTGTAAGCTGCAAATACGGTAGGCAGCATATACGGTAAACTGCAAATATAGTAAAGTGAAAATACAACAAGTTGTTTGCAAATGCGGTAAGTTGCAAATACGGTAGGCATCATATATGGTAAGATGCAAATAAGGTAAGTTGTTTGCAAATACGATAGGTTGCAAATACGGTAGGCAGCATATACGATAAATTATATTTTGTGCTTCATATATATTTAATATTTATTTTATGCTTATGTTGAAAAAATAAAAATCTGAATTTTTTTTTGAAATTCGGTTTGGTAAGTGAATCTACGGTATTCTGCATTCTCTGTATTTGTAAGTGCAAAAATCGGTATAAAAAAATACTGTAAGCTGCAAATACGGTAGGCAGCATATACGGTAAGCTGCAAATATAGTAAAGTGAAAATACAACAAGTTGTTTGCAAATGCGGTAAGTTGCAAATACGGTAGGCATCATATATGGTAAGGTGCAAATAAGGTAAGTTGTTTGCAAATACGATATGTTGCAAATACGGTAGGCAGCATATACGATAAAACTGCATATATAGATTTATAATTTGTTATAAATGTATAAAATTTATTTAATATTGAATTTCTTAAGTATTAAATATTGTAATTCAATATTGTTTCCTTTTTTATAATTGTATTTCCGAGAATTAAAAAAAAAAGTTGTTGAATTTCTTAAGTATTAAATGTTGTAATTCAATATTGTTTCCTTTTTTATAATTGTATTTCCGAGAATTAAAAAAAAAAGTTTTTATGAAATTTCTAATTTTTAAATGTGTTTTTTTGTTGAAAATAAAAATGATTTTTTTATGTTATTTGTAAAAAAAATATAATAATAATTGTAATTTTATTAGCGTAATAAGAAGATTTATTATAAATTTTTGTTTTTTGCATTTTGTGAAGAATTTTATTTATGGTAATTAACAAATATTCTTTTACACACGCATCATGCCAACAACACTAAAAAAGTAATAATAATTTTAGTATATATAAACTCCATGAGCCAAAAAATAAAATAAAATCTCCGCACATGAGCAAAAAAAAAAACTCCACAAAGTGCGAAGAGATGGCAAACTATCTTGGAGAGATGACAAACTATCTCTCCGCACAGTGTGAAAAGAAAAATAAAAACTCTCGGGACTTTATTTGCAAGTTTCAATAGGCATTTTCTTAAACAATTTTTGAGCAATGCATTAAACACTTTAATTCCTGGCTTACAACCCGAAAGTATAATTTCATTGAAAATTGTATCCGCTTCCAATGTCCAAGAGCTGTTATCAAGCAAGTGAAAAATATTGAATTTGGGTGGTACCCTAGAGCTTCCATTTGTGAAAGCAATGTCATAGTACTATCAATATTCTCTTCTTTGCACAACTCACATATTGTTTCATTGTATGAATAACGAGAAAACTCCTTTCCAATATCATAAATATGATTTGCATGCTAAAGAAGACATAATTGATTTTGAGCCATGTTTTTCGACTCTTTTTCATTGTATATACGAAAAATTTACAATCTTAAATTTGACTTGTAATTAAGAAATTTGAAAACAACTTTCCGTACTGTGCAAAGAGTATTTTCCTCTATGTACTATGCGGAGAGTTGGTTTGTCATTTCTTCGCACTGTGCGGAGAGTTTTTTTTTTTTGCTCCGCACTGTGCAAAGAGTTTGCAAAATCCCCATACATGGTTCAACTTTTTTCGCACTGTGCGGAGATTTATTCTCTCTCCACACTTTTTTTACTCCGCACATGGTTCAACTCTCTACGCACTGAGTGGAGAGTTTTGCCATGGTGCGGACCAACTCTCCGCACTATGCAAAAAGATTAACTCTCTCCGCACAGTGCGAAGAGTTTTTTTGCTCTCCGTAACGTGTGAAGAGTTGGTTTGTCATCTCTCTACATTGTGCGAAGAGTTTTTTTTTACTCCGCACCGTGCGAAGAGTTTGCCAACTCTCCGCACATGATTCAACTCTCTCTGCACTGTGCGGAGAGGTTTTTTTTCTCTTTGCAACTTTTTTTATTTTTACTTCGTACTTGGTTCAACTTTCTCCGTAGAGTTTTTTTTTTCAATTTTACAATATTGAATTACACAAAATTTAGAAATATAATTTTCATATTCAATTCAATCATATCAACACTATCAAAGAATACAAGCAAAATAGTTTATATATTTTTTATTCAAGCATGAAATATACTAGTATATTTTTTCTAAATAACATACTTCTATGCAATTATAAAAATAATTTACAATAATTTTTTATATCTTGAAAATATTTTTAGATATTGCTTCAAAATTTTTTCAAAAAACTAAAATTTATACAATAATAAAAGTACTATAAATATAAAATTCGTGCAACGCACGTGATAACGACTAGTAATAAAAAATATGTTTGTGAGCAAATTGATTTCGAACGGGCTAATTTTGAACTTAACTTTTTCTTTTTTGGAAACAAATTTTCTTTTAACGTATGAGACACAAAACGGAAAAACAAACGGGAATTTCAACCATCCAATCATTCAAACGGTAACTTCAATCGTCGTCGTCCAACTCCATCCCACCTTTCCGAACACTATTTGTGCAGAAGATTTCCCATTCTCTCGATTTGTGGGCCGCCACGCTTATGAAATAACGCCATCCGCCACCAACCACCATGCCCACATCAGCACCACCACCGTCAAATTATCCTACCCGTTCCGAGGACTTGATCGGACGGCTAAATTCCGTCCACATACCCTGTGAGGCCAAGCTCAAAGCCCTAAGAGAGCTCAAGAACCAAATAATTGGAAATCGGACCAAAAAGATTGCCTTTTTGAAGCTTGGTGCCGTCCCCTCCCTAGTCTCGATTCTCTCTTCCGCCGTCGCCGAGAACGGTGGAAATTTGGAGTTCAATGAACCTGTTATAATTCAGTCTGCTGCGGCAATCGGTAGCTTTGCATGTGGGCTAGATGCCGGAGTTAATGCCGTTTTGGATGCCGGCGCATTTCCTCTATTGTTTGGTCTCGTATCTCATCCGAACGAGAAGGTATTGTTCCCCTATTTCTATTTTTCTATGTTCTGAAAAATTAGAAAATTTGAGTCAATTAATTTATTAGGTAATGAAGAAGTTGTTTTATAACACGCATCATTCGGTAATGAAAACAAATTCTTAAACAATTTGGAAAAACCTAATTAATAGGAAACTTGTATTGATTAACAAAGATTTGCTTGAATGTAGTTATTCTGAATTTGATTTCTTTTTCCTTTCTCGACAAAATTGAAAATTTGAGTTAGTTTTTGATACTAGGTTACAAAAGTGTGGTTTTCTTATGGTTAAAGTGTTGTCAGTCTATTTGTATATTTTCTGTTTGATTTTATGAAACATGACACTAAAATTTTGTTATACCAAGGGAAATTGAGTTTATTGTGAATCTATATATAATAAAGGAGTTTTGCTTACGTGGTGGTTGGATTAGGTGGTCAATATAATAAAGAGCTTGAGTTCAATTTCGCAGTCTTTAATTTCTCTACGGAGTTGGGAAATGGATATTAGTTAATTGATATGGGAATTATTTTTCGCTGTATGTGACGAGACAATAATCTAATTTTTTATCAGCTTATAAATGATGGTGCTTATGCAATCAAATTTTAGTTGTTGTTAGAATTTGTTTAGTCAAATAATTAAATTACTGGACGATGAGGGCAAACTAGTTACGAATTTGCAGTAGTTTATGATGAGTTGATTTTTCACCATGTGTTCAAGTTGAATTTTTTTGTGAGTAATGACTTGAGTAAGTGGGATTCCATTTGTATCATTTGTGAATCTATATGTAATTTTAGAGTGATGTGGGAAATTAAGCTACATTAATATTGAACAGTTCACTTCATGGTTGCTTAGATTTATAAATTCAAATGGTAGGTCAGTTCTGTGTGATTTATATCATAAAAGAAAAGAAAAAGAAAGAAGAGGAAGTGTAAATGAAACTTGTGGATCAATATTGCGTAGACAAGCCAATTCAAATTTCTACTTCAGCTTCTTTGTTATACTGTCAAATTTGTTCACTCTGAATCTATACTAATCCTATTTGGGAATACAGTCAAGCTTTTCTCAGGTCTCATAAAATTGAAACCATTTTCTTGCAGATTGTGGATGCCTGTGCTCGCTCCCTTAAATTGATTTATCAGTCAAAATTGGCTCCAAAGTATAATTTTCTTCTAGAGAAAAATATGGATTTCCTCCTTTCACTATTGAACAGCAAAAATGAGAATGTTACAGGACTTGGTGCAAGTATCATCACCCATTCATGCCACACAAGTTTGGAGCAGGAGACATTGAGTGAAGCTGGAGTTATAAAGAAGCTTATTAGTCTTCTTGGAGGTTCTTTAATTCAGAGGGATGCTAGTTTAGAATCTCTTGGAGCTATAATTAAGGAAAATCCAGTAGTAGTTTCAAAGTTTATGGGACCAGTAAATGGAAGAGCACTGAATGTTGTGACTGAATTGACAAAGGACAGGTATCCTCAGACGAGATTGCTAGCCTGTATGTGTTTGATCCTTATAAGAAATGCTTCTACGTGTTATCTTCAAGATGCAGGAATCAAGACTAAACTGATACTAATATTGCTCGAGCTTATTGATGATCCTGGTCAAGTTGGAGATGAAGCTCCCTTTGTTTTATCTAGTTTAATTGCAGAAAAAGAGGATCTACAAAAAATAGCATTTGACTCCAATATTGTTGATAAATTATGCAACCACTTAGAGAAAGGTTCGTTACAAGCCAAAAGCCTACAGGGGATATTTCTAGCATTGGCTGACTTGTGTTCAAAGTTGGAATGCTGCAGGGACAGATTCCTCTCTTTAAAGGTTGGTTATACCGATAACCTTGTTATGCATAAGTTCCATACGGTTGTTATGCATACACACTTCTTTAGACTTGATCAATTTTTTGAATTAACAAACAGTTTTCAATCAATTCACAGTTGCGACTAGAGAAAGACTAATATGTTGGGAAAGTCATTTATTTCCAGCCAACATTGTTTTCAAATATTGGTTTAATGCACCACTAGCTATGAAAAAGAACTAAACTGAATAAATTTCTTTAAGATGAAGAAACCACACGTGAGATACCTATCTACATTGTTTTCATCTCCAAGCCCCATAATTCTTGGTTACCTATACTATGTTCCTCTGAATAGGAAGCTAATTTGAGTCCTAACTTGATTCTTTAGATTTTCTTAGGCGGTCATTCCTGTAAGATAAGGATAAGAAATAGATTCTTTTCCTATTCTGTTAATTTCCATGTTCATATAATAAATATGAGGGTTCATGCACAAATTTACTTCAAAGTCTTGTTATCTTTCTTTATACAAATTAACTGAAAAATATTATCATTATTCTGCCTTTAGGAAGAATTTATAACCGGTTTAATTTATAAATAAAAGAGCTGTGGAAAAGTAGATAGTACTTGTGAGTCGAATGGTTGAAAATGAAGTTTGACTATTTATAAATTGATTTATAAGTTTTCCAAATAGAGATTATATTCTTTCCACTTTACTTTATAATCATTGTGTCACTGTGAAAATGAAGTTTGACTATTTATAAATTTATTTTTAAGTTTTCCGAACAGAGATTATATTCTTCCACTTTACCATATAATCCTTGCATCATTGTGTGTGTTTCTCAAGGGAGCAAGGGTGGATTGTTGTTGCAGGGTTGAGATTAAAAAAAAGTATAAGCCTCATGAAAAAGGGGCATATTCTCTTGATGATTTCTGAGAATTTAATCTATATCTGCCTTTTGAAGTCAAAGTTAATATGTTGACTCTCGTAGTTCTATGTTTGCCATATGGTCAATAAGGTTTTTAAGTGCTATTTGTACTTTCGAATGCAGGCATTCAATTTTTTAACAGATGTGCTGACTCATGATAGTCCTGAAGTACGCACTGCAGCTTGCATTTGCTTGAAAAACATTTCTCGCTCTGTCAAGGTTCGTGATACATGATGTTGAAGCAAAAGATTTCTGAGGCTCATATAATCTCTGGTGCTCTCTGCTAATAAAATATGATTCAGAATTTGAGTGCAGGTCATTTTATGAATGAAGTTGTCATCGTACCCTTGGTTCAGCTATTACATGACACTTGTACTTCTGTCCAGGTATACCTTGTTTCATTTTTTTTATTGACTTCCCGTTAACTATATCTGTAGTTTGGCTTTGATGCAAGGCAATTTTTGTCTTGCCTGCATTTTTTACCCCAGTTTATTCAGCCTATATTTGGCATCTTGACTCATTGTTTCAAGGAGTTTACAAACACCTGTCAAAAAATACTTTTTGTTAAACCATTTTTTATCCACAAATTTCGTAAACCCACAAATACTACACTTCTTCACCAATCATTTAACCCTGCTTATAAACACCTTACTAGACATACACCCTCAATCTAGTTGGTATATCATATTCTGATGGGATGAAATCATGAAATCTTTAAGATGTAGAAATAAGCTTAATATATCTTGATGTGGGTTGGTTGATATGAAATTCATGATCTTGTCATGGACGACCTGTGATTCTGAATTTGTTGGTGAGCTCAGTGCAAATATTGCATGGTTCTGGGGGAGCAAAAGATGGGAATATTAATGTTTGCAGTTTAGTGGATCACTGGGGAAAGTGTAAGGGCGATGTCGTCTCAATCCCTGCTGGAAGCAGCTTATAAATACACATGTAACTATTTTAAATGTGAAAATATTATTGAGTCTGTAGGTTCACTTTTGCTCTAACCCAAATCTCTGTTTATATAAGAATTAATATGATTGACATAAAATTCATGTTACTTGGCTAGTTAAGGAGTAAACTAACTGAAGGTTAACTGTTATATGTCAAAAATATCCTTTATAAGTTTTGTGTTATGGAGCTCAGTCCAATCATGGATCTGTTGATTGCCATTTCTTCTGTAGCTTCTCCTGATTAATTAGTATAAAGAAATTATTAACTATTCAATTGAGTGGTTAGTATCATCTATTAAGAATATTGAGTCTTACCATTCTTTTATTGGTGCTGCATGCATTTGAAATTATTAGCCACTGATGCATGATAAGAGTGCATCATTATAGTGAGATTTGATAAGATGTATACCATATACTATTAGACAACCATACAAAGATACTTAACAAAAATTTTCAGCATACGTAATAAGTATATTATGTATAAAATAGATCTGCGCATTAATATCCTAAATGCATTTTCTGCTTGTTTATTAATTGTAAACAAGGACGGCCTAGAAATTTAGCTGGAAAAAATCTGAAAACGGACAGTATTTCACAATACAACAGTTTCTTCAAAATCTCCCCCACATAATTTTCTTAAAAAATGTTCCATTTACTAAATTATGTCATATACTTATATAATAACATACCCTTCATATGAGCTCACTATACATACTGATATACCTATAGATCCACTAACTTTACATTTTAGCCGTCCTGGGATCTTGATCTATTTGAAACTAGCTAGAATTCATTTACTCATAGATCCTTTTCTGCAGGCATAAGATCTTTTTCCTTTATGTTCAGCAGAAATTACACGTTAGACAATGATTTTCGAAATAGATATCTATATTATGCTACAAGTGTTTTTGGGAAAAAAAAGGGGATCAGATCTAAACAATCCCCTTTTTTGGAACAAGAAGACATAAAGAAGCCATTGCAATTGCCAGAAATACTAGGCCTACTAAATGCACAAAAATAGAGGGAAAATTGAAAGTTGTTATAAAATAGAAGGTACCTCGATTTACTATTTGTACTCGCTAATATTTATTTTGTATAAAAAAGAAAATCTTATAATAATTATAATTAAAAGATCACTTAATAGCATCCTTGCCGAACTATTTGCTTTAAAACTACAATCACAAAAATCTCGCAGGCATTGTTTGTATTTCAGTATGTCCATCTTCTATATTTTGAAATGCGTTCCCAATAGAGAACTTTGAGTTTCCAGTCGGAATGGAAACCTGAGAGAGAAGTGCACTCCAACATTTTTCTGCTGATGTAGATCACGTACTTATGAGATTTCGATTTGTTGCATTGCATGACATATTCATTTATCTTTATTAGATCCACTTTTCTACAATGCTCATGGAGAATTTTCTGCATTTTAATAATTTTTTAACAAATTTTCTCCATTGCAATCGTATTTTTTGTTTTTGGTTTACTGAATATTCTTAATTAAACCGTTACTCTTCAGATCGCAGCATTGGGTGCTATCAGCAACATTGTGGTTGATTTTACTGAGCACAAGTCGACATTCATTCATTGTGGAGGCGTGAAACAGCTTGTTCAGCTATTGAAGTCAATGGATCCAACCATTAGGTTTAATGCCATGTGGGCTTTAAAGAACCTGATTTTCCTTGTAAACAGCATGTGTAAAGAAGAAATTCTCTTGGAACTATCGCCATCTATATTAATAAGCCTTATCTGTGGTAAATGTTGAGCATATTATTGTCATAAAAATGCAGCACTCATATGATACTCTATTCACCATCTGCAACTTTATTCTTTCTCAGACCCTGAAACTTCTGTCCAAGAGCAGGCTTTGGCTCTTGTTCGAAATCTGGTTGATGGTGCCATAGACTCTGTTGAGTATGTCTTTTCTGAGGAGGGCCTTCTGCTGAATGCTATTGGAAGACAACTGCAGAGCGCTTCAAAAGTTGAAGTTCTGATTCAAGTAAGAAGTGCTTTCGTGTTCGGACTTGAATCTCTGCTTAAAAAAGACGTACTTTATGTGAGCAAGTGGACTGCTGTATTTAAAAGTATGTTAACAACCTGTAGTGCAGTATCTCATGACCCCAACTGCTTCCCTTTTTTTATTTTTTTATTTATTTTTGACAGTTCTTATGACCGCAACTTCTAGTCCTCCATAAATAAAATAATCTCATAATTTAATAGAGAACAAAAAATTAACAAGTAAATGAGCATTAAATTGAAATATGTGAGCTTTGTTGTTTGATAATGGAAACACTCTTGGTCAAGTGTGTTCCATTTCTATGAAGCAAGGTAAGGCTGCTCCTCTTTACCTTGCGAAGTATCCCTTGTCTTTTGAGCTTTATAAAATTAAAACCCAAAGTATCTTCTTTTGCTTTCCACAAGGATGGGAAATCAAATATCCTCTAATCTTCCTCTCCTGAGCGATCTCATGGGGCTCAAGTGCACTGTCACCAAACTCATTTTTACGGACAATTTTCAGTAGCCTTTGTATATCTTAAGTCATGAACTCTAGCAATCCCAATTATCAACAGTGTTTTGAAGCTAGAAGCAGAGCATCTTCAGCTAATAATCCTTACCATCACTTGTAATGACCTGAACCTCAAACTTAGTTGTGAGCATTATTCAAGTAAAGGCAACATAAGAATGAAGGATAAAGGAAGAATGTGCCTTTCATTTTCTAGTGGGTTATACTAATTCACACGAGACATCCACTTCAGTGAATAGTTAAAGAAAAGCAAGCATCATTATTTGAGTTGATGAACTGCATTCGTCTTACACAATATTGATTACAAATTAAATTGAAGGCTATGAGTTAGTGACTTCTTAATACTGTCTCGTGCATATCAAAATAGGACAGCTTTTGCCTTTTTCATGTCAAATAATCTTTCTTTACATTAGTAACAAGTACATATATATTGGTACTGCACCTGTTTGCTGGAACTTGGTTATTTATAATAATATGCTTACATATGCTAAATGACTTGAAAAAAATGAGGAAAAGAGGATCTTATGTCACTCCCACTCTGATAATACAGAATTCTGATGAAGTAAATAGTGTAGGGCTTTCTACATCACATGTTTGGTAGATTTAGATATTTCAAACAACTTACCACTTGCATGTTTTTCTAGGGAATGTACGTCCTCAACAACGTGGCTTCTGGAAATGAATTCCACAAGGAAGCAGTCATGAACCTACTTTTTCCACATGCAGGCAGTGATACACAAACAATTTTGATTAAGTTTATGCAGAGTACTGACAGCCGATTACGAACAGCTTCTGTGTGGGCTCTTGTAAATCTCACTTTGACAAGCAGTCCAGGTGCAAATAGTCGGGTTATGAAACTGCAGAGAGCTGGCATAGTTTCTCAACTAAAGAATATGGCCAATGATCCATGCCTGGACGTGAAGGTCATTACAATATTGTCCTGGTTGGTATTTAAATCCAAAATGTTTATTAGCTAAAAGTTTTCTTCTCTGGCAGCTTCGAGCAAAAACAGCTCTTGGACAATCAATGATGTTTGTGGATCCTTCAATGGGAAAATTTGTTTTCACATGTTGATGACCGAGATTCTGGTGCAAGATAGTGCTTGTGATTTTCCGCGAGGGCATATCAGAACATGGGATGCCTCCATCAAGTTTTAGGTGAGTTCATTACGGCTCAATTGTCCAGATGAGCGCTATTTTTTATTTTTTTTTTATTTTTACTTGAATGATCACTTCCCACAAATTCATGCATATGCAATTTTTATTTTATTTATTTTATTTTATTTTTGTAAATAAGGGCATGGTGTATGTTTTAGTAGTTGCTGCATTTTTAAGATTGAAGGTTACTAGAGCAAATTTATCGGAATGTCAACATGTAATCATCGTTCGGTGTTCTTTGAAGCCAATATGTTGAATCATAATCTGCACGCTGTGTTGGTCATTTCCCTTTTCTGTACTTCTGAAAGGCTATTCATCTTTCCTCGAGCTCTTCATAAGTCGAATTAGCTTCATCATCATGTTCATTTTCAGGTGTAATCGTATTAATTTCTGATCTTTTTGTTTTGGATCCATGTTTTCGCTCTTCGATTAGTGGGGAGAGTGATGTTTGTCTTTATTTTTCTGTTTCTTTAATGTACCATTTTCCTTCTTTTGTTTCTTGCCATGTCCCAACATGCTCGTAATGGTTAAGAAATGCTCGTCTCAACCCACCAAATTTACATGTAATTAGACTGGTAAGACCCGAGCAACAATATAATCAGGGTGGAATCAGATTTATTCGAGGGGTGAAATTCACTGATCTTCTTTGAAGAAAAGAAAAATGATGGAATTAGACTAACTTGTGGAACCACCAAGATTGAGGAGGATTCATCTTGCCGCTCTTCGATTAGTGGGGAGAGTGATGTTTGTCTTTATTTTTCTGTTTCTTTAATGTACCATTTTCCTTCTTTTGTTTCTTGCATGTCCCAACATGCTTGTAATAGTTAAGAAATGCTCGTCTCAACCCACCAAATTTACATGTAATTAGACTGGTAAGACCCGAGCAACAATATAATCAGGGTGGAATCAGATTTATTCGGGGGGTGAAATTCACTGATCTTTGAAGAAAAGAAAAATGATGGAATTAGACTAACTTGTGGAACCACCAGGATTGAGGAGGATTCATCTTGTGAAGGTGGTTCAAGCTCTAGTCCTTACAGCTTTATACGTGGAAAATCAATTTCATTGCAAGCTCAAACACAAGAAAAGTGAGTAGCAAACATCAATATAGTTAATTTCTCTACTAAAGACAGATTGGTCAACAAAAGCTCATTTTGTATCACTCGCTAACTTAATGTTGAACAGGAGCGAGGAACGCACGGAGACACTGAAATAGAACATTTGCATTACATACGATCTTATGGACCAGTCATTCAAAATTTCATCAGTGCATGTTTGGTATACTGAACTGATTTACGAAACATATGCATGACATTGTCAATTTACATGTCTATTTCAAAATGTCAAACACTTTACTAATCTTCAACAATATTACAATAAGATGTTATGAAGTCAAACTCAATTCATAAAACATGTATCAACAATTGTAGAAGTTTAAATCGATACAAGAAGACTTTTTTTTCTTTTTTTTTTCTCCCTTAACAATGAAGATCATTTTATTTAGATATATCAAATGACTTGCAATGAAATTTGGAGATCTATAAAGCACGCTTTGTGAGAACATGAGCTACTCCATTTGTATCCCCTTTAATTAGTGAGCATTTTAATCCTGGCTGAGCTTATATGCAAGTTTAATTTACTTTTAAGTAAATTTTTATCTCTGAAGATGTTTCCAAAAGTAGTGTAAAATGAGGGGAAAATTCTTGGTGTTCACCATGGAAGCCATAATGGTGTCCATAATGCACACATAGAACCTCCTCCTATTGGAGGGGTGCCGAACATTATGGTGTTCATAATGTACACCAATCACATCCCAAAATGAGGCCCCCTAGTAAAGAATGCCAAATAGTACGAGCAGGGTTGTACCCATAAATTTAAAAGACTTTCATTTAATTGTGGAAGTTCAGAGATTCATGCACTGGGACCAAAAGGTGGTTGAAATTTGACCAGATGTGTGGAAAAATATTTGCTATTTTCTTGGCTTATTTCATTACCAGAATAATTTTCGAGGTCCAAAATAACTGTGGATCAATTTGGTGGTGCATAAAACAAGACAGAATATTCCCTACAGTCTTTTGGTCCTCAAAACTGATAAGAGTAATTTTTCATGGAATTTTATTTTATTTTATTTTATTACTTCTATGAAGATGATCTCGTAAAGACAAGATCTTGAATTGGCGAAATAGATGAGTGTTCGACTCTAGTTTCCAATTGACGAAAATATGAATTCTGTCAAGCCAAGGATGATGGATCGATATCTTGAACTAAGGGTACGTTTGATTGCAAAGATAAAGTTTGAATGGAAAGAAAACGAATTCAGGGAATTGAATTATTTAGAAATTGTTTTACTGGGAATTATCAATTATTGTATTTGATTGGTATAATTTTTCAAATGGAAGATGTTGAAATAAAAGTTTCTTTGGTGTTCGTTTGGATTTATTTTACATGAAAATTGTTGATTAAGGCATAAAATTTATTGATATTGGGGATAAAATTTATTTTCATTGCAAAAAAAAATCTATCTTTTAGTGTTCATTTGGCTTTATTTTATATGAAAATTGTCAATTAAAAGAAAATATTTTTTTACAATTAGGGATAAAATTTATTTTCATTGTCAAAAAAATAAAAAAAATAAAAAACGTAACAGTACCCTAGAAATCAAGCAAAATAAAGAAAATTGTAGCTTCCAAAAAAGCCAAATTCTATGGAAAAAATATGCTATCAAATAGCTAGAAAGTAAAAGTTGGAATTTCAATTCCATTTTTCCATGGGAAATATAGTGCTATCAAACATGGCCTAATTATAAATTGTGTTGTTTAAGTGATGATTAAATTCTTGTTTGGGCTCAATTTTAATTTAATGCATTTCTCTATTTCTTCTTTCAATCATACATTTTTTAGTAAAATAATATTACACATAAATTCAAAAAAATTACTTCTTTCCAAACCACATTTTCTTCTAAAAAATCACTATTTTAAAATATATTTTTCTAAAAAATTCATTAAAATGGAGCCTAAACTATTTTTAACTTGAATATATGTCCAAATGTGAAATTGAACCCACATCATACATCAACAAAAGTAATTGGATGATGAGATTTTAGGGCGGATATACCAAAATACCAAACTTTGCACCATTTTGATGAAAAACTCTCGGAGGTCATTTTCCCTAAAGAGTGACAAGATTGTATGGGGCATATCAAACAAAAAATAACTTCCCCTGCGGAGAGTGGCAAGTAGCTTTACTTAAGAGAGACTGGACTAGGTAAAGGTATGGTGCAAAGTCCATTTATAAAAAAAATTTAATAACGTAAAAAATAATAGTTAATGAATTTAATATTTTTATTAATTTAACATCATTATTTATTTAATAATTTATGTGATTGTAAAATAAGTAAAAATAATTTTTCAAATAAATAAATTATTAAGAATAAAAAAAGTAATGATTAAATACTATTTATTTGATGTAAATTTTGGCATAATGGTTGAAGATGAGTTTGGTTCAAGCTCTAGTGTAACATGATAATAAAATTCAAATTTTAATTTAAGGTTGGAGATGGTCATAGAACACGTCTCCACCTGTCTTCTTCAATTCAGACCATGAGTTGACGAGGTACCATAATTTCACTCCACCTTCTCTACTTTTCTCCACATGGCTTCACCTTATGATCTCAAAAAAAAAAAAAAAAAGGTTGAACCCCAACCTTAAGGGTCTTCCACCGCCCCTGCCCTAAAGTATCGTGAGGGAGGTAAATCGTAGGTTATGCCTCCAAGGGTATAGAGTGGAAGGCTGCTTATACACTTGCACTTACCCAAGAGCCAAATCCATATTTTAGGATTCGAACCCTTGACGCGACAGCCTCAAGCAAAGCTGGATTTCTCCACCCTCCTCTTTTACCACTTGAAGATGTGCCCTGGGGGCGGCTTCACCTTATGATCTCACACTTACGCCTCGTTGTTTTTCAATTGGCCGCGACACCAAAATAAATCAACTACAGGTCACGTCCTTGAAATCACACTATGGTGTGGTCAGTCTTACGGTAGTTGTTATTGATACGCCCCTCATATAACACCTCGCCTCAGTCGTCGGCCAAAGCGCGTAAGCGAGAGACACATCCAAAAACGGCGTAACAGCGTGTCCGCGGTGCAAGGTGCCAAAGGTGATACATTCCGAGGTGTTATATGTCCAAGGCGTCTCTTTCAAAGCATAATGTGGTCGAGGCATTATACTGCGATGAGGATGAGAGACACCTCCCCCGCCAGTTCCACAAATGCATCTTTTAGTCAAGATTATTTCTGTATCTTTAGGAAAGATTGATGTGACATATCTGGCCCGAAAAAAAAAAACCAGAAAGGAAAAATCTGCTGCTTGTTTGGCAGCTATTTTGAAGCTGCCGGTTAGCTGCTAAACAGGTAGCTAAGAGAGGAAATAAATAATAATAATAATAAATTTCAGAAAATCGAGCCGAAAGCTTGGGTAGAGCCTTAATTTTTTGGCCGAGCTTTTGGTCGAGTCAGCTCGGTCAAAAAAAAAAAAAAAAAAAGCTCGAGCCGGAAATTTTAGCTCGCGAGGTGGCTCAGCTTGGCTCATTGACATCCCTATGATGTTAGCAAACACACCACTTAAATAGTTTAACATCACGTCTAGTTGAGTTTCAATGTCAATGTCAGCTCCTAAAACCTCCATTTTTCATAAACAATACAATCATTTTCATTATACGAATTTTAATTGGCATCCTAAGTTTCATCCGCTTATTATGTAGAGTGTGGAAGGCCTTGTACCTTCCTTTCCTGCCTTGTGATTGAACATGTTCTTAAAGCTCTGCATGATATCATATGAGGTCTCAATGTGGTGCTCAATATGTAGCAACAAGCAAGCTTGTTGCCCTCACCGCTTATGATGTTGAACCTTAAGTTCATCGTCCACTTTGTTCTTGGGTAAGCCATCACATTCTTCTTCGAGAACATAGTCACAATACGTTCCCAATCAATATGGTTTTCATCAAAAAGCGTGTTTTGGTCAAAATAGACCTCAAAGGATTGAGAGTCATGGTCATGTTGACCCGGGTCTCCATTTTTTTCCTCTTTATTTGCCGAAAATAAGTTTAAAAAAAATTGCAACCTTAGGAGAGAGTATTCAATTTGGAGTTTTGAAGACTTTTTTAAGTGAATGACTTTTGTAATATTAATAAATTTTTATTGACTTTTACAGACTTTTCACATAATCAATGAAATTGTTTCCTAGATTTCTTGAAACTTTCCTTTAAAGACTTTCAAATTTTTTAAATCTTAGTTAAACGTGTGGAATAGATAAAATTCTATATAATTCATTTAACTCTGACAAACTTTCATTAAATAAAATATGTATGACCAAGTAATTTCGAACACAGTAGAAATTTTTCATGTCAATAATAATCTCTGAAGAGAAGGTAAAAAATATTAGTCACCTCAATCAGAAAAATAAATTATTAAAAAATATATATAACATTTCAATACACATTGATGAAAAAAATCTTTAATGTTCAGTATTTATTAATATGTTCCAACATGTAGGAAATTATTAAATTAAACAAGCAATCAATATATAATCTAATTACAAATTAATCTATTTTTATTACGAAATTTTAATTAAAAAGTTGATCATTTTCATGAGAAATTTGAGAAAAAAAATGAAAAGGAGAGAGAAAAATCCTATAAGAATTTTAATTTAGAAATTGATTTTTTTATTGATAATGAGATAATGAAGAAAAAGAAGAGAAAGAAAAAGAGAAATGAAAATTTTAAAAAGAGAATAATAATAATAATAGTATTTTGAAGAGATAAAAATATTGATTTTTAATATCGTGGCTCTAAGGTCATAAAATGAAAGAGGAAAAAGAAATATAGAAATAAGAAAAATATTATAGATTGAAAGGAATCTAATTACAAATTAATCTATTTTTATTACGAAATTTTAATTAAAAAGTTGATCATTTTCATGAGAAATTTGAGAAAAAAAAATGAAAAGGAGAGAGAAAAATCCTATAAGAATTTTAATTTAGAAATTGATTTTTTTATTGATAATGAGATAATGAAGAAAAAGAAGAGAAAGAAAAAGAGAAATGAAATTTTTAAAAAGAGAATAATAATAATAATAATAGTATTTTGAAGAGATAAAAATATTGATTTTTAATATCGTGGCTCTAAGGTCATAAAATGAAAGAGGAAAAAGAAATATAGAAATAAGAAAAATATTATAGATTGAAAGATTTTTTTTTTTCTTTTTCATTGGTGAAAGTCTTCCAAAATTTTTGGGGTGAATGATAAATTTTTAGTAAGATCTTGTATATGTAGTTTATATTTAAAAGTTAATACTTCAACGATTTAATAAAGATCACTAAAAGTTAATGTCATTTTAAATACCTCGTGACTTTTATAATCTCAATTTATTAACTCAGGACTCTTAAAAACTTTATAAAAAGTTATATTGAATACACCAAAATTTTTATAGAGTCTCGAAGAGACGAGATTGAATATACCTAAATTATTTAATTATATAAATATTTTGAAACTCTAATTAAATAGACCCTCTCAAAGGGATTCATTTACATATCCAATAAGGTGATAGATTCGAACATGAATACATGCTCTCTACTTCAATTGTTACCAACGTTATATTTTAACTGAATGCTCTCATAGAAACCATTATCCTTTAACAAATTTAGATAATCCATAAGACAATTACATATTAATTTCTATAGCACAATCTGCTATAAATTAATTCACACTTTACTTGGTTCATTCAATAAAATTTCAGGTGAATCAGCATCATTCCTCCTAAACGTACAATGCCCATGGTTAAAATAAACCGCATTCCCAAATTTAAGACCCTACGACACAGATAAAGTGTCAACCTCTATGAATCGATCTATAACAAATCACTATCAATCAAAATATATATGTATCTTCCATGCTTCTGCACGATTACATAACATTATTATTATAATGCGATCGGTTGACTTTAGAAGCTACTCAAATATGCAATGAATAACTAATTCAAAATAAATAAACATTTTATTTATTACTAGAAAAGACAATGTTATAAATTATAGTTATGTGCTAATACTATTAAGCATCCAGCCACAAACTTATACAAAAGTAAAATATTCCTCGTGATTGTAGAAAAGAAAGTTACTTTTTCTAATGGTTGACTATGAAAAGCTATTATATATCATTAGCATGATAGCATCTGGCCTTTTATTTACTTATTAAATGCTACACCTCTACCAAGCATAAATTTTCTCCTAAATTTATCTAAACATGCACGCGTAGATTAAATCTTTCTCCACTTAACGTAGATAACTTGTTTTTTGGCTTAGCGAACATGCTCTTTATCTATCGTTTTTAGGGATGGCTACACATTTTGGTTTAAATAAGAAAACGATTGAACTTAATGTAAATACGCATTCTGCACTAGGATCAAACGATTCTATCAAACTATGCAATATGTTCATGCAGTGATACCTAATTCACAAGCATGCTCCACGATGATTGCGTCAACTCACAAAATATTCTTCTCATCGTAGCTAAAACACGTTCCATAATTGATTGGTTCTAGTTTATTCCACTCGTATTTTTCTTTACTTTTCAAGTGTAAATATTAAGATGATTTCATCTTAAAACATCTGTCTTATTAACGTGTTGCTTGTTGTGCAAATGTTGATTTTCGAATATGTGAAATTATAGTTATGTGCTAATACTATTAAGCATCCAGCCACAAACTTATACAAAAGTAAAATATTCCTCGTGATTGTAGAAAAGGAAGTTACTTTTTCTAATGGTTGACTATGAAAAGCTATTATATATCATTAGCATGATAGCATCTGGCCTTTTATTTACTTATTAAATGCTACACCTCTACCAAGCATAAATTTTCTCCTAAATTTATCTAAACATGCACGCGTAGATTAAATCTTTCTCCACTTAACGTAGATAACTTGTTTTTTGGCTTAGCGAACATGCTCTTTATCTATCGTTTTTAGGGATGGCTACACATTTTGGTTTAAATAAGAAAACGATTGAACTTAATGTAAATACGCATTCTGCACTAGGATCAAACGATTCTATCAAACTATGCAATATGTTCATGCAGTGATACCTAATTCACAAGCATGCTCCACGATGATTGCGTCAACTCACAAAATATTCTTCTCATCGTAGCTAAAACACGTTCCATAATTGATTGGTTCTAGTTTATTCCACTCGTATTTTTCTTTACTTTTCAAGTGTAAATATTAAGATGATTTCATCTTAAAACATCTGTCTTATTAACGTGTTGCTTGTTGTGCAAATGTTGATTTTCGAATATGTGTTAATCCATATAAATTCATATAAAATAACTAAATACTTGGCCTAATCAAGAGGTTAAAAAACTTGATTATATAGCTAGAATCGAGAATCTAGTTAAAATTGTCCATTCAAATCAATCAAAATTTGACGACTAATTTTGTTTTTTTGGTCCAATTCGAACAATTTCGAGAAAAGTACATCCACCCCTATACATGTTTGGAAAATGTTTATAAAAAATTAAATTATAAATAAATAAAAATAATTAGATAATGTTAGTGTGTCTGTGTAAATAAAAAAATAATTTTGTCAAACCAACTTAAAAATTATTTAGAAAGTCAATGTAAATCAACAGAGTGGTGCATTGGTCATCATGAGGTCCATCGCATTATAACCTTGCCTCATTATGATGTACAAAATTTTAATTTTTTTTAGTGTACAAATTCAAATATTTTATTATTTATAAAGAAAAATGTCTGAATCTAACGAGCAACGTGGCTTGGAATCTACCGTGATTACGGGGCCCACAAAAAGCCACGCGTACCAAGATTCTCGCGCGTGTAAGTAGGCTTATAATCTGTCAATCCCATTTTTCAATTCTATTGAAATACTGATAACATCACCCCGCCTTTTAAAACTTGTTGATCATATATTTAATCTTTCATGTATTATTTTATTTGATACCGAAAATTGTCTTCTTCTTCTTCTTCTTTTTTTTTTTTAATTAATAAGGTTGCACGAATTTTTTTTAGACGTAAAGTTCTATTTCATTTCAAAAATTAAAATTCTTTATTAGAATATGTTTCTTGAAATAGTGTCCCGCTTTTTTTAATAAAATTTAGAGATTTTATAGAAACTTTGGACTGAAATATTTTGAAACTATTGCAGTTAAATTGTCGCTTTATTGTAGACTTCAATGAAAAATTAAAATAATTACAGACTTTAACACTTATAGTAGTGAAAATTAATAAGCAATTAGAATTTAATTATTGTTAGACATCTTTTCTAAAATAAAATAATATACTTATAAAACAAATTAAAAATAATTCCATGTTCTACTATAGTTTCATATTCTATTTCCTTGTAACCTAAAATTAACCAACAACAATAAATTCAATTCTGTCCAAAAATAAATAAATAAATTATATATACGTATTTTGGGTTAATTTCTCAATAGTGCACAAAACCAAGAAATAATTCCGAAAAATAAAATAATGACATCACAAACACAGGTGTCACTGTGTCAAACGTAGGTGCAAACTGCAAATATTACTTGGGGTATGAATTTTAGGTGTTTTATAGGGTGATTTTAGTAGAATTTAGCCAAATTCTATGTCCCCAAGATTTTAAGCATGGATGCCTCTCCTGCAGTTTTATAAAATGCAGTTTACATAGTATCACACCCCTATATCACTACCAATTCCAATACAGACACAAGTGCTACTCTTTTCATTTTCTCTCTCTCTCTATACGATTCTCTGTTATAGTAATACCTAAGAATTGAAGGGTTTCTTTATCAGCATCAGACTTTTCTTTAACTGGTAAATTGTTTTACAAAATCTGAATATCTTCATTTGCATGTGAGTATTTATATGTATGTAGTGAATTCGTGATATGTTTTTTTTTATTTTTTTTATTTTTTATTGGTGCTGTGTGTGATTTATGTTTGACTTAATTATGAAAAGTTCTACTTTTGGCGTCGTTTGATTGGAATAAGAAGTATCTTTAGGTTGAAATGTCAATAATTTTTGAAGAATCAAGAATTAAATGCTTTACCTGTAATTGGTAAGAAATATATATGATTCGATAGTTATTGTCTTGATTCTTGGAAATGTAAGAGGAAGAGATGACTTCTCCTATTTGAGTTAATTTCCGGTAGATGTAGTAATGAACTGAATAGATGGCGAAAAATGATTAGATAATTTTTCTGTTTGTGTTAATTTCCGGACGATTTAGCAATGATTCGCGAATTGGATACCAATTGAAAACTGGAATCTTAATCGGGAGGCACTTAATTATGTTTATACAATTTAATAGCACGACGAAAGTCCAAAGCAACTCTGAAGTAGTAGAGTTTGAAGTATTGTGATTTTTGAGACTATCTGGTCTTACTATTACTCAATTGAACAGTGTTTAGCAACTGATTCTTGTGTGATTTTTTTGGTTCCAATGCACAATGTTGATGATGCAAAAAACATATCTGACGATAATGCTCTTTATTCTTAATTCTCCTTTTTGACTGACATTGTTTGTCCCGTTTCATCAGAAAGGGCATAAATAAAGTTACTTACAGGTTCCTCAGAGAAACCAGGGAAGCATGCACTCCAATTCCAAGAATTCAAACCTCAGAGAATCCAGTTTTTATGAGGTTTCAAATTCCACATTACTTTCCGAACCTTGGTGGAAAAAAACTGGATACAGTTCCTTCCCAACAGTAATGATGCAAGGAAATGCATCAGATTCAACGTCATTGGAGCAAGCTATGGATGGCCAATCACACTCTGAGGATGGCACGAATGATGGAGATGCTGCTGCGGCCAAACAATCACGTTGTAATATTCCTCCGCATCCAGGTGTCTGATTAAACCATAACCATTAAGGAAGAAGTTCTTCATTTTTAAATTTATTTCTGAGAACTATCTCTGGTTGCTGACATATTTTTTCATGATATTTGTCTCATTTTAAAGATTAAATCAATGGAGTTTTATAATTTGATATAGATTTAACCACATGCAATCTAGAAGTGTCCTACTTCTTACTACACACTGTTCGACTTTACGTCCTTTTCTTTTTGAAATCAACAGCACCATTTTGGAAAGTGATGGCTATATTTTTAACTTTGAACAAGACATGCTGTTTTAAAAGGTGCCAAAGAGATGTATAATGTTCTGTGTTTAAGGGGTGGCCTTGTAGAATTGTTTGTATTAGTTTTTATTTAATGTAAAAAGTAGAGTCAATCATCTTGAAACAAAAAATTGAGTTACGATGAATCATATATTTGTCTCCATACGATCAAATATCTTGTAGATTGCCTGCTTGATATTGATTGGTTGAGCATCTTTCCACGAGGGGTGGCATCAAAGTTGGTCACCAGCAACTCAGGCCTTGCTAAATTTTATATTTATCAACATTGCTTTCAAGTTTCTGTGACCGGACTCAACTGACTTATAGAACTTGTGAATCGGGCAATGATTATGTTTTCATGTCCTCTGAGCGCTGAACTTATATGATTAGTTTTACATGTAGGAAGCTATGAGTTGACTGAATGACATTTGTTTGCCAGTCTAAAGTGTACATCCATTCAGAAACAGTAATATTTGGGATTCTTTATGGATTCAAATGTGTATTGAATACATACATGTGAAAATTAGAACAAATGAAACACGCCCTTTTATTTGAAACTGATAGCTGGGGATGCAACATGGTATGCGGAAATAGAAGAGAGGGAAGTAGAAAAATACTGAGGGAAGTAGAAGAACAAGAGAAAGAGAGAATCTTAGAGAGGCAATTAGATATCAATTCAGTTCCATATGTATAATTCTAAAAACCAACTTCTGTTTATGCTTAACATCCTTGATAAAAATTTAGAAGTTACCGAATTATGAAAATTGAAAATTACCTGATTGTAAGCTAGAAAGTATGTAAAGGAAATAAAGAAAATCAATCAAGACAAATTCTGAAGTATTTTTTACTCTTTTGCCTAAAATGATTGTCTAGTCAATGGCAAGTCGTCCGGACTATACATAAGGATCTCAATTAATCTATGATTTTGCTAGAGCATTTGCATAATACTTGGAAGTTTTTTACACCATATCCTCTTTTCTCTAGTACTATATCTGTTCTCTAGCTGTATGTTCGTTAAGATGCAGCAAGTATATTACATAAGCATCCTATTTTCCCGTATAGCATTGTGACATCGTGGTTGATCGTGTCATGCTTTATCATATAAAGTACTTGCTATTAATCTCCAGTGTCTTAAAAAATGAAGATCAAGATAAGTTGGTTTCTGTGGATTTGTCAAATCCAAGCTACAGGGGTGTGGAATGTAGGAATCTGGGATTCAACAAATGATTTGGTGAGATGATGCAAGTTTTGCGTGTTTCTGTTAGGGTGAAAATTCTATTTCTCATTAAAATCAGCAGTATGCCAAAGTGGTTTCTTTCAATTATGGATTATATGTTGGAGCCATGTGATTATGACTTTCGGAGTACGTCTAGAAGGATTGAATAGATAATACTTTAGTTTTTTTTCTATTTCAGCGTCGTCCAAAACTGTGTATTCCACCTTAATGAACATGCCAATATGATTTGAATATACTACTTAGAATGCTAAAGCTCACTGATATCAATGTAATTGCTAAAGTTTTTATTAAGTATTTAAACTCTGTGTCCTTCCATTTCTTATGAAATTTAAAATTTTAAATACTCATGACATCTTTTTCCAAGATCAGATAGAAATTATGGAGTGGAAGATCCTAATTTACCACATGGTTCTTTGACCATACGTCCAAGGAGTTTCGACAACCTAGTGCAGCCCCCACATCAGGAGTTTGTTGGGCACTCGATCGTAAGGATATAGACTCGAAAAATATGTTGTTTGTAGATTATTTCAGTATATTAATTAAGTTTTGAAATGAAAATGATTTTAGTTTATGATGGTTTTGTGACTATTTTTCAGGCCTGTGCTTCGAATCCGCGTGACCCATATCATGGAGGAATGATGGCAGCTTATGGTCAGCCTTTGGTGCGTTCAAGAAGTGAATTTATTTCTCAATCTGAGTCTTTCTTTCGATAATTAAATAGCTGGCCGAGAAGGGTGTGTGAATATTAAATTTTCTTGTATGAAGCTGTTCAAATGCAATTTGCACTCCAAGTTCTTAGCTTTTGAAAATAAACTACAAAAAACGACGCATTGTACGACTAAATTGGAACATTCATAAACGGGTTGGCATGTCTTTGAAATATGGTATGTCACTTGACAGTGTTCTCTCTCCTCTGTTTACCTTTTTTACTTTGATGGATCAATAAATACATTGCTGTTCTATAATCTGATTCGAGTTAGTCAAGTCAATATTATTGTTTTGTTAGTTTTTCTTTGGGAGGATTTTGAATCTTGTCTCATTGTTGTTTGACATTTTAGGAATGTTTGTTCCAATTAGTTTGTTATTTGTCACGTAAACTTGTTCCAAAAAAAAAAATGTTTAAGCTAATAAACTATTGTTTTGATCAGGTTCCTCCTGATTTATTGGATGTGCATCAAGCCAGAATACCTTTGCCTCTTGAGATGGCACAAGAGCCTGTTTATGTGAACGCCAAGCAGTACCATGGAATTTTGAGGAGAAGGCATTTGCGTGCTAAAGCGGAACTCGAGAGCAAGGCAATAAAATCTCGAAAGGTTGGTTTTGCCATTGTTTTCTTTCTACTTTAGCCTCTGGCTATATTCTGCTTGTGTGGATTCTCTCAGTGTTGAAATGGATATATTAGGAACTTGAGCTTGTCTCATGATGTCTTTGTTCTTCTCCTGTTTTTCTATGATAAGTAATTGTTATTGAAGACTGAATTTATGTAAATAAATGCGTCCCTTCTCAAACAACTTGATATTTTTTAAATGATATGGTTCAATATAGATCAGTGTGTGCAAAAGTCCTCATTTCTTCTCAAAATTGGTCATGTGTTAGGCATTTGATGCAAAATTAATCTGGGAAGCCTGAAGTGTTCGAAAGAAAACACCGACATATAGTTGAAGAACGTGGAATGTGAATAACCCACCTTTGAATTGAAATTGAGATACTGATGCAAGTTCTTCCC